CCAGGAGTGTTGGATGATGACTCACCCTCCTTTCTGTCCCTATGTTTTCCTCACTTGAATGTCACATTAGATAAAGGTCTCTGATAAATAAATTAATTTTAATGCAGTAATTAACTCTCATTCACTGCCATTCTTTCCACCCCATATGCATGAGTCTAACAGACAAAGCTCCGGAAATCTTTAAGGTACTTGTTCAGAAATTTGAGTATTGGTAAAGTAATGTAGATGTACAGTATAGTGACTAGTGCATTTGACTTGTGATTCTGTGTATAGTGGATTACCAGGGTGTGTGTAGGGCTCTTGTACCACATGAATAACAGTCTGTTAATTGGATATGTTGGATCACCTATAAAACTACTAATAACAACAAGGATCTGTTAGCCAGCGATTGGTTCGCGAAGGCCTCTGCTTTTGTGACCTGAGCTACACTGCACCCAACCCCCACAGAACCTCTTACAAGTGGTGGGCCCACGGGAGGGCAGGCCCATGTTCTACTTTCAGGCTTTGCCTGGGGCCTGGCCATCATGTGCACACCTATGAGCTCCCCCCAGGCCTGGCTCCAGGGCAGGGCCCCAGTCACCCAATATGAGCAGGTTCATATTGTCCTTCATCTTATCCTTCATGGAGGGTTTCCACTCTAGCTCCAGGAGACCATGGGGCAGACCCAGGACATGCTGGAGAGATTATATCTCTCAGCTGGTCTGGGAACGCCTTGGTATACCATTGGTGGAGCTAGTGGAGGTGGCTGGTGAGAGGGAGGTCTGCACATCCATGCTTAGACTGCTCCCCCCGTGACTGACCCCAGAAAAGTGGCAATGGATGGATAGATGAATGAATGTTACCTTATCAAGATTAAAAACAACAATAGAATAACACCAATAGAATCCAATAAAATCAAATTAAATACAACATAACCAATAAAATCAGACAACAAAACAAAAACTCATGAACATTCAAGTAAATGGTTTCAGAGTGAATATGCAAGCCTAAGAGCTAAGTAGAGCTGGGTGTTGTCATCGTAACAGTGGAATTGGATGCCATGATGACAGAAGATGCTACCAAAAGTGAGGAAGTAGATGATGAAAAGGAGTGACTCCCAGAAATGAACCCTGCCAAACTCCCTGGGAAACTACAGAATTCTCACACTGTAAATCCTTCCACTGAACAAACTGCCTCCTTACAGTACAATAGGAAGGGAACCACTGGTCCACAAGAAAATGGACTTCAACACTAGGCAGACATTTCAGGAGAAATCAACTTGATTGGAGTGGTTCAGAGGGGATATTGCTTGTAAGACTGAACTTGGATGGCAACTACCTTTTCAAGGATTTTGTAAATGAATGGAAAGTTGTAAATAAACCAAAAAGGTCTTCAGTGTTTGAGCCAGATTTTTTTAGAAAAGGTGTGACTGAGGCACTTTTTACTGAAATGGGAACTGCACCAGCAGTAGGATTGCAGCAGTTGTCTGTTGTCTTTTCTTTTCTGACATCTGCAAATTAATTGCACTACTGTATATATTTGCACTACACGGCATACACACATACACAAAATAAAACATATATTTGTATGTTTTTTGTATTTATTTTGTATTGTGTTGTATTGTATTGTGTTGTTGATGTTATACATTTATTTCTTGTATTTGAATTTATGTGTAACACCATTGGGTACCCAAGGGAATTGGTGTTTCAACGTCTTATGTACTTGTACATGGGTGTGTTGACAACAGAGCATGTGAGCGGACTGGAGCGGGCGGAATTTGGTCAGAGCGCGGAGCGGTTTTTTAATTAAAGCTGGAGCTGTCGCTCTGTCTAGCTCCAGTTTCGCTCCAATACCGCTCACGACTCTGAGGTGTGGCCAGATCTACCCAGAATTCATCTGTACAACTACAATTATCAAGACTGTTACACAAATTGGCCGAGATGGAATTCGCAAAGGTTTTCACAAAGGAAACTGATAA